GCGGGGGGGGATGCGGGGGGGGATGGGCGGGGCGCCCCGGCCCGCGGTCTTCCTTGGGGACCCGCTCTTCTGCAAAGTGCAAACCTGCCAGCGGCGGTGGGCTTGGGCAGCCTCTGCACCTGGCTGACAGAACTGCCCCTGCAGGCCGCAGACACCCACCTGAGGCCGTCCGAAGCTGCCCCTCGGGAACAAGCTCCGTCTGGGACGAAGGTGGGGGAGGGCAGTTTCTTTCCTAAAGGGAAGGAAGCTATCCCACAACCCCACGGAAAGGGACATCGCTATGTGCCTGCTCAGCTCTGCTTTTAGTTTAACTTCAACCGGGCTTTACCCTCTCTGCACCTGCCTCTCCCTCACCCCACGGCCATGCAGACCTCCTGCTGAGGGACCTGTCTAGAGCAGCCCAAGTTCCGGACACTCCCCAGTCCCTGGGTCTTCTCCCCTACAGGTAGCCGGCCTCCACAATGGGGCAGGCGGAGGAGGTGGTGTGGCCACAGGGTGCTGAGGTCTCCCATCCACTTGTGGGTTCATGTTCCCATTCAGTGTAAATTTCTAGCACAGCCAACCTGAGTGCAGGTGGCTGGTCAGACCAGGACCCACTGTGCCACCACATTGCTCCAGGCCTCCCTGGCTGGGCTTTCTACATCTTGGTCTTTCTGAGGTCCAGCTTGCACCCACCTTGCAGAATGGCCACCAAGGAGCCCTGATGTCCTGTAGCTGCCTGGCTCGGCAGCCCTGTGCCCAGCCAGCTGGCCTCTGAGTCTCTCCCTGACTTTCCCCTCCTCAGCCTGTTGCTCAGGCTAGCGCTGCCCTGGTTCAAGCTTTCTGTGGCCATCCCAGGCTATTGTGGAGCCCAAGAGGTGTGTCGGGCCTGTGTTATGAAAACTGCCCAGATGTGAGACCACCTGTAAGCCCAGGGCTTAGGAGCACCTTAGGAAATGGTGAACAGCTGCAGGTGGGAACCACCTATACCCAACAAAATAAACATTCAGATAAGCAGCAAGATCTTGTCTTGGTGCTCATCCTGATCCCCAAACCCAAGGAGCTGTGGTTTGGGTAGAAGCAGAGGAAAAGGTCAAACTGTGTCTGGTGTGGTATGTGTGCTAGTCTTCACGGAAGACCCCTCAGGCTGGCTTCTGTCTGCCCCCATACACAGAAGCAGAAGCTCAGAAGTGACGACTCACAGCCAGGACTGAGCCTGGAGTGCTGACTCCAGAGCAGTGCTGAGCCCCAGAACTCTTGCCTTAGCCCCTCCTGGGGATCCAGAGGGCAGGCCATAGGGTTGATGTGAATGTTTTCCTGATGCCTTGCTGGGGTCTGATGCAGGGAGGGGTCCACCAGGCCTAGGAAGCAGCTCTGTGCACCACTCACCCTCCACCCGGCCATCACCTGTGCAGCCACCAGCGCCTTCCACAGAACAGCCGCTGGCCACAGGGCCCCATTCATGCTCCCCACACACCACAGGCCCCCAGGGGCTGGCTCAGGACAGCCGGTGTGGAGTCAGTTGGGGGTTGTAGCCATGGCCACATCCGCCAGCCCAGGCGCCTGGCACTTGCTCTTCCCTACAGGGAGGGGCCACTTCCTGCTGCATTCCAAGCGCTGGCCCTCGCCCAGACTCCAGCCACGCCTGGCCGCTGCACCTGCTCCCCGCACTGGCCCCGGAAATGCGGGCGCCATGGGGATAGACAGCTCCCTTCCCCCACTCCACAGGCCCCAGAGGACTGTGCTGTGGTCCCCTGAGGCTGCTGAAAGGTAGGAAGAATCACCTGCTAAGTGGAGAAGGTGGTCTGGCCAAGAACTCTGCAACCTTGGATTGGCTTCTGCCCTCTCTGTGCCTCGGTTTCCCCAGATGTTACAACCAAAGTTGCTGGGGTTCTCAGTGATGAAATTCCCTGGCCACTGAGGCAGCTGACCAAAAAGATGTCAGGCCTCTCAAAGAGCCAGAGAGACAGCTGGAGAACCTGGAGATGCTGTGGGATGGGACAGCAGGAACACAGTCACATGTGAGACAGGATGACACCCAGTCTTGCACCTCTGCCTGGCACCACTCTTCGGTGGATACCATGGGACTTTGAGGAAGGTTACAGCTCTGGTCACAGCTGAGTCCTGGTCTGAACTCTCAGCCACAGTGCTGCTGCCTGACGTCATGGCCAGGGTACCATCACACATACCCCCACTCCCACCCCCCACCATGGGCTCTAGATACAGCTGTTCCATCAGTGGCTCTGTAGGCACAGACCTGTGAGATACTGCACCTGCCACTTGCCAGCTAAGCACCCGCTTGACAGCATGCAGCCTCGGCTTCCTGAGCAGCCTGTCACCACTGCTGGCAGAAATTGTACATTGTCCTTCAAACTGATCTGTTTACACACTGAAAAAAGATGGGGTCAGGTATCCTGCCTAGCCTGGCACCTCCAGATATGCTGGACAGACACACACCAGAAGGCTGTGGCAGGCACTGCACCCCACTTCCACCCTTTCACGTTCCCATCATCCTTTCCGTTGGGTGAGATGGTACAGAAGATTCTAACCAGTGGAAAGTGAATGGAAGTGACCACTGTATCTGAGCTCAGCCATTAGATGCAATGCTATCATCTGAACACTTGTTGCTGGTCACATGATGAGAAGGATATTATGGACTGGATTTTGCTCCCTGATGAAGCTGTCATCCCCAGTGTGGCCATGTGGACATGAAGCCTCAAAGGAGATATTTAAGGCAAATGAGGTCATACTTAGGGACCTTAATCTGAGTCCTTATAAAAAGACAGATCCCAGAGAGCCCTCGCTCCCTCTTTGTACACACAGGAAAAGCAGTTGAAGGACATGGTGGAAAAGCAGCTGTTTGTGCACTGCAGGGCGCTGGAGCTGAATTCACCTGCCCCTTGATTGTGGACTTCCAGCCTCCTGAACAGCCAAATAATAAACATCTATTATTTTGTTTTAGAAAAAAAGTTCAGTATTTTGCAAAGAGAACAGCAAGTGAGGCGGTAACTGAAGACCCGCCTGCTTAAATGTCTGCTTTTTCCCATGCTGTCCTGTCATGGCAACTGCTATCGTTCAGACCTGGAATGGTCCCGTGCTTGGTCCTCAGCCCCACTGCTATTGGGAAATGGTGGGACCTTTAAGAGGGTGGCCTAAAGGGGTATTCAGAGCCTCAGGGGCACACCACAAAGGAACCAGTGAGACCCCAGCATCTCCCTCTTTCTCTCTTACTTCTTGGTCTTATAGGGAGTCAGTTGATCTGTCATAGGCCCAAAGCAAATAAGGCCATGCACTGAAATCTCCGAAACTGTGAGTCTCAATAACTCTTTTCTCTTTTTAAGTTGAGTAGTTCAGGGAGCTGTTACAGTGACAGCAGCTGAGCCATAGCAACCAAAGCCAGCAAGCACTGGGGATGACAGAATAGGACTTTGCTTCTGCTAAGGGTGCCCCCAAAGTTCAGCTATTGGAGACTTAATACTCAGATGTATTAAGTTAATGGTATTTGGAGGTAACGTTGGAGGAGGCCGGTTAGGATCAGGTGGGATCGTGAGAGTAAGAGCCCTGATGGAATTAATAGCTTTACAAGAAGAGGCAGAGAGCGCTGAGCCAGCCGTTTCCTCTGCCTGTGTGATGACCTGTGTCAAGTATGATGCAGCACGAGGACTTAGCTGTGGAGCTCCAGCCTCCAGAACCCAAGTGGAAGCCCTCCTAAATCACTAGTCTCAAGTATTCAGTTATAGCAACACAAAATGACTTAAGATACCTGCAAATAGTCCTTCCCTACACACCTTAAAACGTGACCATGTGCTTCCTCACTCTAGAAGATGGAGTTTGCTCCATCCTCTGACTCTGACTTTCTTTGATTAAGGAAAGGCAACGGAAAGCTCCTATCTACTTTTTCCTTTTGGAGTGCTGCCTCTACCATGTAAACAAGACCAAGCCAACCTGCTGGGTGATGAGATACAAGTAGCCCTTCCACCCTGGGCTCTAGCCAATAACCATCCATTCTCCAGGCACAACTGCCTAAGCCATGGATGACTCCATAGCCTACACTGTGGAGAGCCCAGTTCAGCTCAGGAGAGCCACTCTGCAGAGCCCAGCCCAAAGTACCAACACAGAATTGTGAGCTAAAGATCTAGCTGTTGTTCAGTGAATCTTTAGGTCATTTGAGGCACAGAAAAAACTTTCTAAAATAGTCAGAATTAGTGGAGGACACCCATCCCTGTGGAACTTAGGGATCGCTGGTAAGAAGAAACCTGAAGCCAAATCACCATTTGGAAGGATGTAAACAGCACCCACAAGAACGTGAAGTCTAATAGCAGCAGAATGCAGTGAGCTCACCCACACACATCACAGCCAAGGTCAGACAGCAGAGAAGCCATCGGAGGGGAAAATAACCTACAAATAGTAACAATTAAAGCAGACTTCTCAATGGCAGCAACGGGATCCAGCCAGTGGGATATCTTCCAAATGCTGACAGAGAGTAACTAGGATACGGCCTGAGTTAAATGATAAAGGAACCCCATTGTTGGGGCTGGAGAGATACTCAGTGGTTAAGAACACTGGCTGTTCTTGCAGAAGATCCAGGTTCGAATCCCAGCACCCACATGGGAGCTAACAACTGTTGGTAACTCCAGTTCCAGGGGATCCGACAGCCTCTTCGGTCCTCCACATTGCCCCAGCCTGAAAAAGCGTCCCAAAGTTCATACATTAAAACCTAATCTGCAAACTCTGGTGTTTCTGGTATCTGGAGTTAGGAAGCAGTAGAGGCTATAAATGAGGTCATGAGCATAGAACTCCATGATGGCGTCACTGTTCTACAGCAAGGGAAAGTGTGAACAGCGGCCACTTGCTCTGTCTCATCACTCAATGCCCTGGGCCATGCTCCTAAGCAGCAGGAGTCCTCAGCAGATACCACCATCACACCTGAATTAAGAAAATAAAAGGAAGAAAAGGGGAGAGAGAGAGAGAGAGAGAGAGAGAGAGAGAGAGAGAGAGGAGAGAGAGC